ATGACTGACTACATTAAAATCTTTATGTTTACACAACAAAAGTTAAAACACTTTTAAAAATATTTTGTATTTCAAATAGTGTTTAAATGTGCTTCACTGTAGCGTTTTTTTTTAACGTTACAAAAATTTCCAATTTGTGTTGCTGTATGGACTTTTCGTGTTCTACTGATGACAGCAAATATTTAAAGTTTTAAATAAATATTACAATAAATAAAGCTTAATCACAAAATTATGAAATATATTTAACAGACTAACAGCTTGAATTTATTTTATTATTTATTTTTACTTTTTATTTATATTTTGACTTTACACTTTACGTTTAATAATTTTATGTTTTCAAAAAAAGTTGTTAGGGGTGTTCACGATTTCAAGTAAGAAGCTCGATAATCGAGTAACAATCTAACACTGTCAAATGCCAACAAAAAAATAAATATACTCGAAATGTATCTACTTTGCTCCTTGTATCTACTCCTTTTATGAAAAATGGTAGTTAATGTAGCTTATTGTCCACAATAATTGCGATAGTGTAAACGTTCCATAAAATTGCTTATTTTAATTTAAAAGCAGTTTGTCATATTTAAACACTAGAAAAAAAAAACACTGCCAACTATTATGTCGCATAAAAACAGCTGTTGAAACGAATAAATTTCAAATAAGTGAATACTTGTGCGCAGAGTGAATTTGTTACAAATCTAAAGTGAATGAGTTAAAGCAGGCAAATCAAAAGTTAAGTGACTTGTAAGCTTACGATTTTACCCACCAATATGCTTGTAAAGTTTTATCAAATTAAATTCCAACTAAATTTATATGAGGCTTTAATTATTTCTAATTAAAACATAAAACAAAAAATAAATTATTTTAATTAATACTTTATTAATTTGAAATATCTTAGTAATTAAAAAATACTATGTAATAAATAAATTGCAAGTTTCTAAAAATAATTAACATTTCACTATTAATTGCATATTTTATAGTATATACCTTTCCAAATTTCAGTCCTTTCTAATATTCAAAAAAAAAGAAATTTTTTTTCTGTTAAATAAATAATAATATTAAATTAATAATATTTAAAATTTTTGTCTTAAAACTTTTTATTTTTTGACATATAATATATATTATTACCACGATATTAAGTTTATCCTCGAAATTTCTTACTCTACAGAATTATAATATTATGTTCAATTATATTTAATAGAAAAATTGCAAATACATTTTAAACATTTCATACATATGAAATATATATTTATATATAAGTAAATAATATAATATATACATAAATGCATTTACAAGTCTTTGATGTTTTACATAAATTTAAGACTTGATATATCTATGTTTCTATTGTATACCTAGTTTAGACCCTAAAAATTGGATGATCTTTTATTTTAATTTACCGCAAAAACCCTCATTGGTACACAGTTATTTCAATATAGTTAATAGTTAAGAATAGAAAATTTTGAAGATTTCTTCCCTTCCTTTCGAAATTAGGAGACTGTACCTCTTTGAATTATAATCGTTCAATAAATATGGACTTAACGTCTTATGTACACACATTTATTTTACTTGAAAGATACTAATGTGATATGTGAAGCCAATAATAATTACTCTAATTATATTATTTATTTAAATTTATAACAAATTTTTCGTATTTATGGTGTTGTCTGCAGGAATCGAATGCGACAGATCGTTCTAATGAGTTCCATTCGTCTATTTGGCTGCTTCTACGAAAATAAGATAATGAAATTTTCCATATAAGCTGTTTTAAAAACGGACCCTAAACATATCTACGTTAAACTAAAATCAGTTAAATATATTATAAATCTGTCACAGAAACTAAACAATCCAAGCAAGATATATAATAAACAAGATATATAATTGAAATTGAGTATTTGAGATATGTGGGTTATATTTGATATATTGTTTATAACTCAATTTCTTCGCTTTAGATTTTAATATGAATATATTAATATATTTTAATATATCTACTATTCTATTCTATTATATTTATTACCAAATTTTTACCGAATTGAAAAAAGGCGATGGTTGTAACTAAACCTATACCTACGTCAGAGTACTGCATTGTATCAGTTTCCTCAATTATCTTTCGCCTAATAGTCTAATGGCTTATGTATGCAATGCTCTTTATAAAAAAAGTTTTAAATGTTTGTTTTTAATAAATTTTTTTGTGTTAACTTTCTCCTATTACAACTTGGTAATTACAACAACACATTCTTTCACTCATACCAAGTTCTGTATCATGACCCTAGACTTTTATCATATCATGCTTTTTTACGTGCAGTTCAGCATAAATCTTGCTTCTACACGGGAGTCCCATTATAACAGCCATAACCTTAGTAATTATTCTACATAACTGGTTTAATCTTAAAAAAGAGTTTCAATAACTAGGCAATATTACATTAACTGAACTCATTACATCAGCATGAATAGTATATAACTTTGTAACACGTACCAGTCTGTCATTGTCAACAAAAGCATAGGCAATTCTATTATAATTGGTACATTAGGTTCCCTTATGATTGCCAGTTTTCCAATAACTAGAAATATTTGTTAGCAGCACTTTAGGATCTGCTGCAGAGATATTCTGTATTCCTTATGCAAATGTTTCCGAAACCATTAGTACATGTCAAATATTCCTATATCAATGTTTTCAAAACCTTTGATATATGTTCTGAATATGTTGCCTGTGAATTAAAGAAGTGGATTCGTCATCTTTAACTTTAAGGTTAGGAACTGTGGTGTAGGCTTTTGTTGGCGTTAGTTTAGTCTCTGCTACAGATATATTAAGTTATCCTTATGCGAATGTTTCTCAAAACCCATAGTAATTGACAAATATTCTTTATGTCAATATTTTTAAAACCCTTGATATATGTTTTGAATATGTTGATAGTGATTGAAGCAACTGGGTTCGCCATCTCTAACTTTAAAGTTAAGAACTGTGGTGTAGGCTTTTGTTGGTATTACTTTGGTCTGTGGTACAGATATATTAAGTTATCCTTATGCGAATGTTTCTCAAAACCCATAGTGATTGACAAATATTCTTTATGTCAATATTTTCAAAACCCTTAATATATGTTTTGAATATGTTGCCAATTATCAAAGCAATTGGATTTGTTATCTCTAACATAAGTGTTATGGACTATAGTGTAGGGTTTTGTTTTTAGCAATACTTTGCTGTGTATTTGATGTTAAGACTATCAATATGAAAATGTTAAGTAGTTCTTATACCAACCTTTCCAAAACGCTTGATATATGGTATGTTCTAAGTGTGTTATCAGTGTTCACGGTTTGCCGTCTGTTACATTAGATTCAGGAATTGGAGTGCAAGTTGGTAACGTTGGCATGAATTTGGTAACTGCTGCAGAGTTGTTAAGTATTTCTTATGCCAACGTTCTCACTACACTTGGTACATGTTCCTAGTAAATAACACGATACGGTTTGATATCTGTTACATTGAGTTCAGTGATTGTAGTGTGGTACAAATAGATAGAAGCAAATTGTATCTGTTGTGGTACTCAATCTGTGCGCTTCTTGTGTGATGTTTTCAATAGAGCTAGGAATTGTAATTCTATTCCTGTTGAACCATAGAGCCTCAAGCATAGGGAATTGTATACCAGATGGAAAAACACCAAAGTCTTTCTTAAGCGCATATCGCAGTCCAAAAAAGTTTTTCTTTTTTCGCTTGTTTAGGACTTCATTTAGACACCATGATGTTCAGGGTGTCTATGGGAAAAGACTTATAGCCACCCACGAGTAGGTTTCTCGTAATTATTAGGGCAAAAAAAATTATTATTTTATTGAACTTTATTTTCATAATTGAAATGAATGATATAATGACTTAAGTCTTAGTGGTGTTTCGATGTGTTTTTTCTTAGTTACTCTTAACTTTACACTTTGTGATAAGTAATTGTGATGATCTTCCGACTTAAAACAGGATGTGATGGGTCTTTAAGTTGAAGCGAGAAAGTTATTAAGTTGAATGTGTTAATTG